TTCCCTATGCTGTTTCTATAGGTCTTTTGTTCCTCTCTCTTGTCCTGATTTCCTTGTCCCAAGTCCTGAACAGCACCTGCCACAGTGCTTTCCATGTAGTAAGGGTTAAGTAAATAATATCTGCTGGTGAATGCATGAATCAATGAGCGCTGTGAATTTTTTTCAGATTTTTTTCCATCTCCTCTGTCTGCTTTATCTCACCCACTAGAGGGTGCTATGAGCATACATAATTAAGAAGAGGTAGGGCAATTAATTTTTCTCTACGGATATCATGACATTTATCTACAATGTAATAGAAAAATGAAAAGGATTTTCTCCATGTGTAAGTAATATAACTGTAGGCTTTTATTTAATGTACCTTGACATCACATTTTATTTGTTCTGAGGCAACCTCTATACTAACCATTTCATATTTATTTAAGAAGTGCCCAGAGTCAAATGATATTGATATCAATTAATTCTTGTCAACACTTGACGATAACTGCTTAAAATTGCGTGTTTATATTGAAATGCATGGAATACATGTATTTTTCTTGAATAGGAACAGGAAAAAAATGTGATTTTTATTTTATGTAATAAAGAGGACAGTTAAGGCAATTATAAAGTACAATATAATTGAACTCTATATACGATACATTTTAGAGCTAAAGTTGCCCTTAACATTTTTCCTAAACCTTGCTTTTTAAGTAAGTTATCTCCTTCCCTAAACATTTTGCACGCACGCACACGCACACACACACACACACTTCAAACCTTTTGTCTACAAACAAAAGCAGTGTATTTTCAATCCCCAGACTTATTCTGACACAATTTAAAAATAATTATAAAACACACGTAGTTCTAATTATGTTTGGCATTCAGTGACCCAAGAACTATATTTTGGTTATTTTCAGACACAGGTCATTAAAAATATTAAACCTAAAGGGAAAGTTTTGAAAGTTTATAAGGAATATTTAAATTATTTCTAAAGGAATAAACATTTCTTAATAGCCAGTTTGCTTTGCTTTATTTTTACTGTTTCTGTATTAAAAAGGGCTTTTACAACAATTTTTAGAGGTATGTTTTATAATTTTCTGGTTATTACCAACAAGACTATTTGTTATGTATTTGTCTATTATAACAGAACATCTGGCACGTTTTATAATATATTTAGCAAGCTTAAAAAAATATACAATGCTGCCTCCAGAAGGAATTTCTGGAAGTAACAGTTTGTCATTTTTATAGCCTATATATATAAAATTCTCTCTTGGTCTTTAAAGTATAATTTTGTTTTATTACAAAATACAATAGTAAAGAAGATAGTATAACAAACATCTATGTGCCTGTCATCCAAACTTAACATTTCTAAATGTTTTGCACACTTATTTCAGGTACTTTTAATTTTAAGAAATGAAATTTCTACATGTGGAACCTTCTTTGTACCTCTGCTTATTCTAATTTTTTGCTCCCAAATATCCTCTTTTTATTTATCCTAACATGTACATGTGCACACCCATGTTTATTATGCTTTTATTTTATATACTTTTGTCTGAAAAATGCATATGGTTATATATCATTCTATAATTTGCTTTTTTCCTTTGACATTATATTTGTAAGGTTTATCCGTGTTCATATATGTGTCTGCACTAATACCAGCCTGTCTTAATTATCATACCTTTATTTTTAAATGATATTTCATAGGTTAAGCCCTCGCTCCCAGTTCAGTCTTCAAAACTAACTTGACTGTTCACTTTCAGATCAGTTTTTACAATTCCTTGAAAGGCACTGGAGATTTAGATAGAAATTGCATTGATTTTAAAGAATAATTAATTAGGAAATTATCTTTATAATGTTGAAACTTTTCATTTATGATTATGGTATCTTTTGCCTTGTGTCTGGCCTTCTTTAAGTCCTTTGTAGATTATATACATTTACTGCACTAATATATTATGTATATTAAAAAGAATTACAGAGTAATAAATGTTCAAAAAGAATGACATAAAAATAAATAGAAATAGACATATTTCCTTCCATCATCTTACTTTGGAGACCATGAGGAAAATCAGTTTTGTCATCTTTTGTGTGTATGTGTGTGTGTGTGTGTGTGTGTGTGTTTTTCCTTCTCTGACTCTATTTACCCTGCTCCCCTGCTGTTCTGTCAGTGGAAGAAGTCAGAGAAGAAAAGATTAAGTGCCTTACCTCCTTATAAAACCCATGATTGGATGGGAAAAAGATCCTTGAGATTGAAGGAGTAGCTCTGGGAGTGTGGATTTTTTCCCCTTATTTCCCCCCCGCCATTTCTCTCCTCCATCACATCCAGAGGGTGATGAGGAGAAATACAATGAAATGAAACAGCAATAAGCAGAGGTGGGAGGTTGGAGGAGGTTACCTTCTCTTTCTTTATATTCCCCCATGTATAGCTTTTCTGTTACACAGAATCTCACCACTGTTAATCTTGACCTTGTAGGAAAAAAAGAGAATGGTAGTCCCACAGTCATCAGCAGTCAGGAGTGCTGCTTTATACAAATGAATTAAATTTTCTAGTTGGTAACTAACTCCTTTTGTTTATAACTCTTTCTTCATAAAGATAAATGTGATTTAGGTAATACAGCTTCTTCCTTTGAGTAGGTGTCAGGTTCTTTAATAAACATTCCGCATCTGTCTCTTTTTAAGTCTTCTACATTAAAAGAATATCAAATACTCTGTAATTAAAGATATTTTTAAGACTAAGTTTAGCAAAACATCTAAAATTATAGGACATTTCATTCAAAACTATAATTGGTTTAAATCTATATTTGAACTCATAGAAGGTGTTTCACATTATGGTGTACAGCCAAAAGTATTTACAGAAATTTTCTTTCCATAGAACTTGTGGAATAGAGGGGGCTTATTATTTTGATAGAGTAGCACATTTAAACATACTTTCTAGTATTCTCATAATGAGAGTGTTTTAGTGATCATATTTAATTAAATCTTACCTTAAATTAGTTAAAGCAGGTTATTTTCAGAAACCTTAACCAAATAGGTTCTTGTTTTTGTTTTTTGTTTGTTTGTTTTTGCGGTACGCGGGCCTCTCACTGTTGTGGCCTCTCCCATTGCGGAGCACAGGCTCCAGACACACAGGCTCAGCGGCCATGGCTCACGGGCCCAGCCGCTCTGCGGCATGTGGGATCTTCCCGGACCGGGGCACGAACCCGCGTCCCCTGCATCGGCAGGCAGACTCTCAACCACTGCGCCACCAGGGAAGCCCCCAAATAGGTTCTTAATTAAAATAGAGGGCTTGGATTTGATTTAGGTAATAGGTTTCTTAGCTACCATATCTTACCAATGCTAAGACTCAATCTTATTTAACATTTTAATATCTCTAAAATGGAAATATGCCTTTACATTTGAAAAATACATATCTATATATGCATATGTATGTATACAAACACACACACACACACACACGTTTTGGTTTTGATACAGTGTCCTTGGGGCTGATATTGAGTACACATTAGTAGAACATACCACTTTCCTCTCTGATGAGTCAACATCCCCGGTTATTGGTCTGTGCCCCATGTTAGTTGTTAAATATTGTATCAAAATTTGTTTGATTTTTCTCCATTTTCTAAATAATAAATCATCTACTTTTAGGTTGGAAGCTTTCTTAGAATTTATAGCCTCCATACCAAACTTCAGTCAGTCAATTCAGAGAACCTGGCAACATTTTTAGCCCTAGAGTTTCATCTCCATGGAGGCACCAGTTACGGTCGGGGAATCAGAGTCTTGCCAGAAAGTAACTCTGATGTGGATCAACTGAAAAAGTAAGCATATTATAGACCTATTTAGAAATTGTAAATAAGGTATTAATTAAGCTGATTTCTAAGATAATATTGTTCTGAGGTGGGAAGGGGGGCTCTAAGAGGTCTCTTGTAATTGATCCTCAGAGCCTTCCTTGCCATTCATTATTCATTTTTTTAAATAGATGAACCAAATGAAACAAATCAAGTGATTGAAGGTTCAAATAGCTACATAGTAGCAGAGTTGGGTTTATAGTCTAGGTTTTCCAATAGTTACTTATGCTCTTACCTCTACTCTTTGCACTCATGTTCTTCTACCATTTGCCACCTTCTCCAGGTACAGAAACAAACAGTGGAAACTGGAGCTTAGCTAAAGTTTGGAAAACTTGATATATATGTCTGGGGTGCCAAACATATTTTTTTTTTTTTTGCCGTACGCGGGCCTTTCACTGCTGTGGCCCCTCCCGTCGCGGAGCACAGGCTCCGGATGTGCAGGCCCAGCGGCCACAGTCCCACGGGACCAGCCGCTCCGCGGCATACAGGATCCTCCCAGACCGGGGCATGAACCCGCGTCCCCTGCATCGGCAGGCGAACTCCCAACCACTGCACCACCAGGGAAGCCCCAATACTGCCTTTTTTAAAGTGCGTATAACCGAGAAAATAGGTAACGGAAATATTTCAGGGTACCATATTTTTAAAACTTTTAGGTGTGCCCAGAAAGTGAATAGTACCTTAAATCCTGCTACACTTGCAGTTCCCTTTTTCTTGAAGTACTCCTGTTAGTGATGTGTGCAGAAACTCTTTGACCAGTATTCAAGGGAAATAAAAATTATTCTACATATTTTCAAAGAGTTACAGAAAATATCCTTTTCAGTAAATTGAAATGACATAGCTATTTTCCAAGTTTTAATATATTGAAATCAATATGACTTTATCATCAATGAAATTAGCTATTTTAATAACCTTCTATCAGTTTCCCTACTTTATTTCTCATATTGCAATATATAGCCACATAGTATTTCACTACTTGAGTCTAGAGTGAGATTGTTCTGACTTAGAATGTCATCCATTAAATACCCAGCTTATTTGCAGTATTTCATCATCCCACTGTTCTACTTGTGTCTTTCTAGACTTAGGTTTTTAAAATCTGAGGGTCTCTTGGAATCCCCCGATAATCTGTTAAAAAACTATAGTCCTCCTGAAGAATGCATACACACACAGAATTTTTTATACAATTTCAGTGAGCTCTTGGTTTCTTTGGGTTGAGCTAAACTGACCATTGTTTGACTTTGTTTTATGCAATTAAAAATTCTATTCTTTCAATTACAGGGTTTTAGAATCTGTAGATTTGCCAGCCAATCAGTGTTTAGAGGGTATATGTCAATCAGAATATGAGGACAGCTTTTCAAATATTTCAAGTAAGGACAGTTTTTTTAATTTATTAAACTACAGTTGATTTACAATATTGTGTTAGTTTCAGGTGTACAGTGTCAGATTCTTTTCTGTTATAGGTTATTAACAAGATATTGAATATAGTTCCATGTGCTTTACAGTAAATCCTTGTTGTTTACCTATTTTATATATAGTGGTATTTATTTATTAATCCCATGCTCCTAATGAGTAAGGATAATTTTTAATGTTGCCAGTTTAGTTTCTGCTAAGTAAAATGACTTTATCAACATAAATTCTCTTTTTTAATATCTTCATATCTCTATTTTTTTTTTTGTTAAATCCATATTCATTGTAAAGAAACATGCTAAATCTTTATCAGTGTCCTGTGCAAAGGTAAACGTTACTCCTCCCTTACCTGTATAGTTACATTTTCAAATTGGGGTGGTAGGGATTACTTGATTTGTGATATATGTAGTGTTAATGTGTGTATATATGAATTTATTATAAATCTGTATTTATTTCCTAGTAAACTGTTTTGCTCGTCAGTTTCTAAAAGGAACAAAGGTTGTTTTTGCTGCTTTATTTCAAACAGCCCAAGTATTTTTTGATCATACATATCTTAGAGTTCCCAGTTTTATTGAGTTAAGTACCTAATTACAAAATGTTAACAAACGGTTGTGTATTTATATTATTGCCTACCTGAACAGGTGACTATTCAAATCTAAATTTTAAAACACTCAATCTGTAAGATTTTTTTCTTTACCATTTTGTCTCAGTATTTGCTTATACATTCTGACACCTAGAATCTATGTCATGTTTCTATCCCCTGTTGTTTTTTTACAACCTAACTCCTTCCCTACTATGATCTATTTTATGAGTATTTACTCTCTTTCTGTATCGGTAATGATAAGCATTAAAATTAACATGTGTGGCTTGATAGGCACTTAGTCAGTGCCTACAGACATTATTATTTAATCCTAACAGCACTCCTATGAGGTCGATATTTTTATTCCCTTTTATAGAAAGGAAACTGAGGCTTTGAGTGATGGGAGTCATATAATTTGTCCAGCGTCACTTAGCTATTAACTGATGGCAAAGTCAGTCAGATTCAGATGCAGGCTATTTGATTTTTTTGTACATGTTTATTTCTTCATTTTCTCTGCCTTAGAATTCTTCATATTTCCTAGCACGCTGGTGATAGCATTTTAGCCTAATCTGTGATTATTTGAACTGCCATTAGGAGGCTAGTTTACTTCAATTGACAATCATTTGGAGACAGTATTAATTTGTAATTATACTTTTTGAAATCTCTTTTCTCCTTTTAAAAGGTTTTTCTAATCATTTTTAAATTACAAAAGTAGTACACGTGACAGTATCAAGGTACGTAGCCTTCCCATGCCTTCATGCCCACTCGCTGAGGTAAAGTTAACGGCTTAGTGTGATTTCTTCAACATCTTCATGTTTATATGAATATATATACCTCTGCATAAACAGATACGAGTTTTCCCTCTGTTTAAAATTTTTACAAAAATGGGACCATACTAGACTAGCTGCTTTATTTAACAATGTATCACAGACCTCTTTCTGGGGTAATTCACGTAGCTCAAACTCATTCTTTTAATAGTTACATTATATTTTATATGAGTCTAACATTATTAATTAAGCCATTTTCCATTTGATAGGCATTCAGGTTGTTTCCAGTTTCTTACTCTTACAAATACTTCTTTAATAAACACCCTTGAACAATTGTACTTTCATGCTTATTGTTTCTCTAAAATCAACTCCTAAAGGTGGGGTTGAAGGATCAAAGAGTAAGCACATCTGTTATTTTCATAAATGATGCCAGATTATATGCCAAAACGTCATAGGATTCATATGCAAATAACAGTGTGGGAGAATGTCCTTTCCTCACACTCTCAGTGGTATTGGCCGTTGACACTATAAGTAATTTTTTGACAATTTGGTAGGTATAAGGTGCTATCTTATTTATTTTCCCTGAGTACATGGAAACTTAAAAATCTTATTACGTATATATTGGCCCTTTTTACTCCTTCTTTGAATTGTCTGCTCTTACCCTATACCTGATTTTCTGTCGGGTTCTTTTTTTTTTTTTCTTATCAGTTTTGTGGGAGATTGTTGTATATATTTTGCAATATTTTCTCTATTTTCTTATTATTTAACTTCATGCAGAATGGCAGATATTAAGTAATCAGATTCTTTGAAATTATACTTTGCTCACTTAAGGTTCTCTTGCCATGGATTCTTATGCCATTTATTAGTGATGTTGAGGAAGATGGACAAGTAATACATATGTTTGTATATGATGCCACATACAATAAATTATAAAAATATAACATACTATTATATATAATAGAATGTAGTAAGCTAAAGTAGTTGCAAAATATGGATACTTTTTTAAGTCTTAAATTCTTCATTTTGGAAAGCATTATTAAAACTTAATTGCTATGGAAATTGAGTTATTTGTAGTGAGGTGGATGGACCTAGAGTCTATCATACAGAGTGAAATAAGTCAGAAAGAGAAAAACAAATACCGCATGCTAACACATATATATGGAATCTAAAAAAAAAAAAAGGTTCTGAAGAACCTAGGGGCAGGACAGGAATAAAGACGCAGACATAGAGAATGGACTTGAGGACACGGGGAGGGGGAAGGGTAAGCTGGGACGAAGTGAGAGAATGGCATGGACTTATATATACTACCAAATGTAAAATAGACAGCTAGTGGGAAGCAGCCGCATAGCACAAGGAGATCAGCTAGGTGCTCTGTGACCACCTAGAGGGGTGGGATAGGGAGGGTGGGAGGGAGATGCAAGAGGGAGGAGATATGGGGATATATGTATATGTATAGCCGATTCACTTTGTTATAAAGCAGAAAGTAACACACCATTGTAAAGCAACTATACTCCAATAAAGATGTTAAAAAAGAAAAAAGACTTATTCCTATGATCACTACTTTTGCTTTTTTTGTTAAAGTAAAATCATATTTTATGGTATTCATCAAGTCATCCTATTAAGTTTGGTAAATTTATTATTTTATCCACCTATCCCTTTATTCCCTTCACAATGTATTTTTTCAACGTAAGAAAAATTTTCGAACACACAGAAAAGTTGAAACAGTTGTACAGTCAACACTCATATACCCACCATCCGATTCTCTAGTTAACGTTATTCTCTTTGCTGTGCCATTTATCTCTTTTTTAATGCATCAATCCAGTTTATCTTTTTATGTATTTCAAAGTAATTTGCAGACATAAGTACATCTCCTAAACACTTCAATGAATGAACATCATTATCTAGAGTTAAATATTTGTTTAGAATTCTTTTTTATTTTTGAGGTAAATTATATTCAATGAAATGAGCAACCTAGGTGTATCATTTCATGAGTTTTGGCTAACACATAAACTGCATAACCTAAGTCCCTCTTAAAATCAAGACCATTACCTTTTTGCAGAAATCTCCCTTGTGCTCTTTCCCAGTCGATCCTCACTCCCAACCCCACCCCAGAAGTCCTGATTTTTTCCACCATAGGTTAATTGTGCCCGTTCTAGAACTTCAGATAAATGCAATAACATGTTATGTACTCTTGTACATACTATTTGTTTTTGAGATTCACCCATGTTGCATATATCAGTGGTTTATTCCTTTTTAATGCTTAGTATTATGGTATGACATAGACATTTTTGAAAATATGAATTTCCAGTTGCAGCACCATTTTTGTTTTTAAAGATGGCTTTGGTGTCTTTGTCAAAAATCAAATGAGTATAAATGTGGATTTACTTCTGAGCTTTGTGTTCAGTACTTAGTAGTGTGGTGTGAAGTAAGCATTTTTTTTCCCTTATACTAATTTCCAGTTGTTGCAGAACCATTTTTTTGAAAAGAGTTTTGCTTTCCATTTGGATTGCTTTGCTGCCTTTAACAAAAATCAAATGACCGTGTAAATGTGGGTTTATTTCTGGACTTTCTATTTAATTCTGATAATATTATTTGTCATTCTTTATGTCAGTACCATATTCTTTTGTTTACTATAGCTTTATAGTAAATCTTGAAGTCATACGTCCTCCAGTTTTGTTCTTTTTCAAGATTATATTCTAGATTCTAGATTCTTTGCCATTTACACTTAAGTGATAGAATCTGCTTTTCTATAATAAAGCCTATGCAATTTTGATTAGGATTTTATTGAATCTACAGATCTATTGGGAAGAGTGTCAGTTCCTAACAATATTGGACCTTCCAATCCATGAACAAATGACATGAATCCATAAATAAATTTCACCATTTGTTTAGATTTTCTCCATTTTCTCTCAGTAATGTTTTATAGTTTTCCATGCCACATTGAGCTTTTAATGGATTTTAAAACTGTAATTCTTCTTTCCTTTTTTCCTAATAGGCTCTGGATCAGTATCACTATATGAGGTAGAAAGATGTCAACAACTATCGGCTACAAGTAAGACCATTTTCATTTCTGTATTATGGGCACAAGAGTGAGTATTATGAAGTCTGTCCTTATACTTATCTATCCACGAGGGCAAAAACATATCCGTGTTAATTTTAATCAATTCACGCTATGTATTTAGTGGTGTGTCCATAAAGGAGTTCCTTAAAATATGCCCCAAAACTTTAATGTAAGCAATGATAGTTAATCTATCAGATACCCACCTTCTGATACTTCAGCTAAGATTTTTTTAAAAATTAACTATTTCTAAGCACAAGTCTATTAAATAAAATTCTGTAATATACTATTATAAAGATATGAGTTTCTCATTATTGGAGAAAGGACGTATGATTATGAAATGGGCTAGAAGAAAGAAGCTGTGGTATTGTATTAGAATTGGAGGTGTCAGTATGTACTCATGGTTTTAGAGACAGATACAGAAATAGATATATGGGTGTTTGTATATATGTATTCACTCACATATACATTCATACACATGCAGGTGCACTTGTATAAGTATAGGTATGAACATGTGTGCATATGTGCCTGAGCTCTGTTGATGAAAGGGCATAAAAACAAGGACACCCAGTAGCAATGAGTACACCTAGTGCACAGATCTTAGTTTATAAATAATATCCCCAATCAGGGCTTCTTGGAGAAATAGCAGATTCCAGGGTTGGGACAGGAGAATTATAAGGTGATTCTGGAACATCTTGTTGTGCCAGAAAGTAGAGAATTTCTCAGGTTAATGGTGGCAGATGTCAAATCTCATACAATTTGAGTATCAAAATAAAAATTACTAGTGATGGCATAGAACTGATTGAATAAAGTAAGAATCTATTAGTCCATATGGATAGTAAATAAATGAACAAAACAAATAAATAAATAAATGAGGTTGAATGGAAAGCTGTTATTTAAAATAGAATGGCAGCTGATAAATGTAAAAGGAATAATGAAGTTAGGGAAAAATCACCATTTTTTAATCATGATAGTAATTATTTAGTTGCTAATCGTCAATGGATCTTAAACTAGCAGGATCCTAAATGTTTAATGAAATTGGGATATTTATATTTTATCAAATACTTTCTTACTAGTTATAAAGGGGGAAATAATAAGTTTATAGTGGAGAAACCTGCTGAACACCACCTTAATCAGCTGAGCAAAGTTAACATACCCAGGAATGAAAACACTGATATCATGTGCCTTTTGATGTCATGCAATGAGAAGGTCACAATATCACTTACACAGTAGTATTCCTACCAAAAATGTATAATTGGTATCTGATCATGAAAAAAACCAGACACACCCAAATAAATGGCCTCTACTCAAATATATTAGCATCCTGAAAGACAAAGAAGAGCTGAGGAACCATTCTCTACATTGAAGGACTCCAAAGAGACAGGAAAAATAAATGCTACACATGGCTCAGGATTGGGTCCTAGACCTGAAAATAAAGTGCTAAATAAGAGCATTATGGGGATAGTTGGAGAAATTTGAATAATATCTGTTGATTCTGTGATAATCAATGTTAAGTGTTCTGATGTTGAAAATTACATTGTAATATGTTAATGAAATTGCTTGTTCTTGTGAAATACATACTGAAGTACTTAGGGATAAAGGGACAAAATGTATGGAAGTTACTATCACGTATCTGCAAGGTTTATGTATATATGGAGAGATGGAGATAATGACAGTTGGAGATGATGATAAATGTGGCAAAATGTTACCAAAATTGACAATTAATACAGCTTGATTTGATTGTGTATGTTTGTTTCACGGGGATTCATGCCATGAATATACTTATATCCTTGCAGATTTCTCTAACTTAATTCAAAAATTCTTTATAGTACTTACGGATCATCAGTATTTGGAGAAAACCCCACTGTGTGCTATTTTGAAACAAAAAGCTCCTCAACAATATCGTATCCGAGCAAAATTGAGGTCATATAAGCCCAGAAGACTCTTTCAGTCTGTTAAACTTTATTGTCCGAAGTGTCATTCACTGTAAGTATTTTCCATAACAAAACCAAAGTTTTCATTTCATGAAATTTGTGTATATATGTTTTCTTATGTGTCAGTTTAAGTCCTGACAATGAGTAAATTGTGATTTTAATGTATTGTATTTTGAAAGAATGGTAATCTTTTTAAGAGAAAACACTAACTCTTAGAAAATAAAAATCCTTTTGATGTTTCTTAGTAATAATAAATAAAAGTAGTTGCTGTTTTCAGATCTGAAATTCAATTTAGTAGCTCTGATAAATGCAAACAAATAATAACTGTGAAAAGCTGTATAGCACAGGGAGCTCATCTGGGTTCTCTGTGATGGCCTATTTGGGTGGGATGGGGCCAAGGGGAGGTCCAAGAGGGAGGGGATGTGTGTATGCGTATGGCTGATTCACTTCGCTGTGCAGCAGAAACTAACACAACTTTGTAAAGCAATTATACTCCAATAAATAAATAAATAAATAAATATAATAATTTAAAAAAAGAAAATATTTGGGGGAGCTTTCTCATTTGTCACAAAAAAATCTTGAAAGTAAACCATTGTTAACTAAAATCCTTAAATAGAAAAGATTTCTGGTTAGTTGAAATTCCTAATTAAGTGTTAAGAGAAAGCCTTGTTGGAAATATTCCTGTCCTGCTTAATAACTACCACACAGTGGACATAATTTGAACTTTTGTTGGTAATTAAGGATTTCTCAGTTCCTCAAAAGCTTTATTCTAAACATTAATTATTTTATAAATAAGTAAGTGAACTTATAAGACATTAGAATGAATGTGTACTTACTAACTCAAGACATATTCTGAAAATTATTTTTAATCCCTCTTCTTTTTTATGCAATTTGACTATCTTCCCTCTGTATATGTAACATGAACATGTATATACATCTCCATTATATTTATGTGTGTGTACATTGTGTGTATGCTATGTACACTAATGTACATATATTTTCCCTTTCACAATCTATGTATAATACTGTTTGTGGAGATTTTTGGTCATCAGATCTCCTTATACAAAACAGGGGACCATCTTCTACCCATTTTGGCTTGAAGTGGTAGTTGGAATTAAAATATAAGTACAGATTTTAGATAGTCTTGAAGTATTATCAAATTATAGTTCGTAAAATTCTGTAAAAATCATATAGCTTTGCCAAACAAAACCACCCTCTATGATAATTTTTTTAACAAATAGGGAAATCATCTTAGAAATGTTAAGAGGTTTTACCTAAATTTACACAGCTGATTGGTGACAGAACCAAGACAAGGAAATAGACCTTTTGATTCTAGATTGTGCGATTTCTACTGTATCATATTTTACCATATGACTTTTGAAAATTATATTCTAGATTAAAAGGAATCAAATGGAATATTGGTTTGCAAAGTAGGTACCCTATGAAAGTGATATTACTTAAGTGGTAAGTGGATATTTAGCTGGAGTGAAGACAGGGCTCCTGCTGGGAAGTTTAGCATTCCTTACAGAGGAGAACAGTTTGGTGCTAGAAATAATGGTGTCACAAAACCAGGCAAGGAAATTGCTGGTGGTTAATGTAATTATGATATGGATCTAATTAGCCATAAAATGTCATCAAATATCTTTCTATTGAATGAGCCATGTAATCTGCAGAGTGTTATCTCCATGTTTTAAAATAAGTAGCTGGTTCATAAGCATATAAACAATTTTTTTTATTGGATAGTTTGTTAAATTTGAATTTCCAAGCTTATACCAATTGTTTTTGTATTATTTCATTGTCAATGATTTTAGGCAAGAAGTTCCACATGAGGGTGATTTGGATATAATTTTGCAAGAGGGTGCAACCAAAACCCCAGATAGCAAACTACAAAATACATCATTATATGATTCAAATATCTGGACCACTAAAGATCAAGGAGAACGAAAAGTAGCTGTTCATTTTGTGAAAAATAATGGTATTCTCCCACTTTCAAATGACTGTCTAATTTTGATAGAAGGTATGATGTTTAAGTTGCTGTTCTATTAGAATATAGCTTTTGCTTATGTGTTTCTCTGACTGATTATTGTTAAATATATTTTAGGGGCAACCTGGGACATATAAAGTCAAAATACTGTTAATTTAAATTTCAAATAATGTAATATATATAGCAACTAGATTCAAATACATACATATACACATATATATGTAAATTTATCTGAATGACATTTTGAAATTACACAAACTCAAGTGTTTGCATTTGTCCATCTTGTTGGATTCCTACATGTCATCTTAATGAGACCCAAGGTGATTGCTGAGCTGAATAATAATCAAGAAGCTGCTTGTTATGTATAGTTGCTGTTATCTTGGCCTCTGGATGTCACTCTTGTTTCATAAAAATAGAATGAAAGTCATCTATTGATAGTTAAATCAAGTAAAGATAACCTGACATATTTTAAGAGAATGAAACTTTGAGTCAAATTTAATTTTGCATTTCTTTTATACTTTTGCCTTATTTTTATCTAATATTTATCTAATAATCCATAATAAAAGGGGACCATTATCTTTAATTTGCATTAGAGAAATCTTTCATTTTGTGAATGAACTGATCTTTCTTACAATGGATTATGATCATTTTTATTCCTGGCATTTTTCTGTTTATAAAAGTAACACATAATCATTTTAGAAAATAATGTATATGTGCGAATACACATGTATATAAACATTGATATTATTTTTATGAACATCACTTGTTTTAATACATTGATAGCATACCAGAAACTATTTTAATTAATTTAATCATCACAACAATCCTGTGAAGTTGGTACTATTATAAGCTGTTTTTTATACATGAGAAAACTGAACCACAGAGGAGATAAATGTCTTTCCTAGTACAGGTAGTGGGTGGTGAAACTGAATTGCTTCCAGTTTTTTACATAGCAACTCTGTGATGAACTTTATCTCCCCCCTGAAGTGTAACTGGGCACAAGGAATTAAGTGAATGTTGCCCAATTACTTTCTAGTAAAGTTATCATAATGTGCACATGCTTTAGCAGCATGTGAGATTATCTGTTCACCTACCCTCCTCATAATATACTAGAGCTTTAAAACATTTGGCCATTTTGATGAGTGAGATGTGACATTTTATTCCATTAGCAGTATTTTAATCTGTACCAGGAGATAGATGTAAAAACAGAAGGACACAGACACACACCCACATATATATGGAGTAAATCTATTTATATGGCCTAAAAATAAAATAAAGCTGTGATCCTATCAGGCTTTATTAGAACTGTCCTTGTAGGGCCAACTCAGAGGATGTCAAGTATGCCTTCGGCTCCTTCTGTGCTTTGCTGCCTCCCACAGAATTCTATGCTGAAGCCTTGTTGGCCTTGACGGTCCAAAGGAACCTTGAATAAAGAAGTCCCCTTAGTTCCTGATCCTATCTTTAAAATTACCAGTCAACCCTCAAGCTTTCAGTCTCACCTCCTATCGCAATTCCCATCCCACCCTCTAGCCATATTGAACTGGTGATAATTCCTGAACCTAGTATATTCCTCTGGGCCTCTTTGCCATTCTGTCACTGTTCTGAGAAATTCTGCTCTAATACGTCTTCAGAAGTAAACTCAATAATTCCCTTTATTCAGCAATTCATATAAAATATTTAACAAACACCTACATGCATCAAGCACTTTTCTGATTTATCAGGCAGATTTGAGTGGTTCTTACTGCATACTGTATGAACTTCTAGTAGAGCACTTCTTATATTATATTTGTGTTTTATCTGTCTGTCTGTAGATTTGTTTCTTTATTAGAATGTAAGTTCCCCAAGGTCAGAATACATGTTCTTTTAATCTATGTATCTTCAGCACCTAGAATAGTAAACCTGGCATGTACTGGCTCTCAGTAAATATTTATTGAATATATAAGTACATCCAAAGTAGTAACAGTTTACCTTACAGAGCCTTTTAATAAAGTCAAATGAAAGTGTATGTGAAAGCACTTTAAAAGCGTTTCATCAAAATGTAAGCTATTTTTATTTTATCATATTTCTGAGTATTATAACTCTAAGCATAGGCTAAGATCTAACTGTAGGATGACACAGCAAACCTGTGGTTTCCAGCTATCACAGAGCTGAGGGAAGAGGTATGGGAGCTGGGCAAGTTAAAATGCCATGAAACTTGCTGTTCTTATAAGATTTATCCACTTTTTTTGAATAAACACTCCTTGGATTGTTGCAAGCCTTTGGTTAATTTCTAGAGTTTTGAAAAAGTTGAATTTGACAGTTTTTGCCAAAGTTGTTTTTGCTATTATGGAGAAGTGTATTTTTGGACGTTCTTACTCTGCTATGCCAGAAATGCTTCCCCCTCACAATTGAATTTTAACATTACAAATTTTATACAAATTTTAGGAAATA